GGTGTTTGCAGTATTTGGCTCTCTGCATCGTAATATTATCCACTATAAGAAACTTCCATCAGTATTCAAGGGCAAGAACTAATCTTCAAAGCTCTGCGCATGTTGAAAATTCTACATCAATGTGGTATGTTGTGCAGCAAAGCATCAAAAATCCCCAATAAGGTACTTGTATTAATCCTAGTCTATATGAACCAAAAAAATAATAAAAATAAAAATATCCACCCATCAAAAAAATAAACCTTCCTACTTATCTGTTGTACATGTATGCGTATACATGAATTCATCAACAAAAGCCAGGTAAGCTAGAACCAAATAAATTTCTCAAGTTCAAGAAATGGCATCAACATGCTCTTTGTAAGCTCCATCAATTCCTCTGTAAATTTTATGCCCTAATTCTCCACAACAATAAACAGCAAGATGGCACAGATCACCATGGTAATTTCTAAATAGCTTCATAGTTCATAGGCATGAGAACATACTTAATTGTCGGGCACAAATGGAAATATCCTACAAGGGAAAACTGGAAACGTGAAAAAGAAGATAACAATCAGCTCTCCAAACTTCTGCAAATGGCAACTGAATGTATAAATATGTGGTAAGGGGGGGAAGACTCAGATTCCAGATAACTAGAAAAAATGTCTTTATACACTAGATACATTGTCATAAGGTAGCTTTTTGCAAAGAGAAATATCAGATTATAAGAACTTGTAAACGTGTAAATACATCCAAAAACATGCATGCACAGTGAACTGTAACATATATTTACCTCAATAATTCCTCTCTCTGGACCAGTTGGGAGAACTCCATAAGGAAACAAATACAGATTAAGCCGAACGGCTTCAAAAATGTCCTTCAAAAGAGAAATAACTTGTAAAGCAAGAACATCTTGTCGACAGTCATCTCCAACCTACATATTTATGGGAAGCTCAATTAAGTTGTTGCACCATAGTAGCAAAGTATAATGCATTATTTTACAAAAATCTAGTTCCAGATATGGATATTTGTCAAAAAATTTCAACTTCTTTTCACCGTCCTTCCCTCAAGCAAGCTACCAAACTTAAGGAAATTAACACAGTTTTTAAGTACCACAAATACCACTAAATTTTACAACAGTGTTTAATATGGTTTGTTTATTTTCTATTCAAAATTCTCGAAGTTATAATAAAAATTCCGGGAGCCTAAAAGGCCAGGGAATTAAGATGAGACTGTGATTACACACTGTAAGAGCTAGATGATCTAATCTATGCTTGCTCCGAGTATGACTGTAAGTCTAGAACTTCTTTACCAGTAACCATTCTCATAATTGTTTCTTGTTACACGTGAGCTGTAGAAAAGATAATTTTCGTTCAAGGCAAAAGGAATTTGGTGATCAGGAGAACTAGTGATATTTAGCCATGTGAAAACTTAGATTGACCCAGAAAATGTTAGCCCAGAAAGAAGCTGTTCAAAAATTAGTAGATCCCAAAACAAACAACTGGAGGAAACTTCAATTTCTTACAGAAATCCTAAAGATTTCCTCATGTCATTGGACAACTAGGTTTTATAAAGGAGTTCTTGGACAACAAGGTCCTACCATTCATTAATAATTCCAGTGAAATCCTGAACACAAAAAGAGCTTATTTTCTTCACTTACGCTCTTTATCCTTGGTTATACTTATTGCTCACATCAATTTTAGCTAATTTATAGATGTCCTAAGAACTCGAGGGCAATTTTTATTTTTTTTTCAGTTTTACTTTTTTATAACGAGTGCATTATCTTCACTTTTTCCACTTTTAATTCTTTGTTACACTTATTATTCACATCAATTTGGATACTACTCAATTTTCTACAAAGATTTCTTAGGTTATCATTTGTTCTCCTTTATGTGGAAAATCTATTTACCTACTCTTTAAGTTTTAAAATTAAAAAACCAGAGCCTCAACCATAATAACGAAAACACAATAGGAAGCTTAGGCAATTAAATCAGCAAACTCAAATAAAAAATTAATTTCTCCATACTGAAGTTTTCCTTTCCAATTTTGAATTAGGCCCACAAGTTTTGCTCCAACAAACCTTGTGTTGTCTAACTAAATCCTTTCTCACCACTTGACCCAGTGACATTACTAAAATATCCAATAAAATGAGATCATTTGATTATCAACCCACATTAATTGTGTTCCATCTCTCGATATTGTAAGTTGTTTTACTAAGATCATTCTTGTGAATTAAACCTTCTTTAGGTCTCTGTAACACATGCCTCGTATGTCTTAAGTTCTAAGTAACCTCCAATTGTTGGTGTAAACTATTTTTTGATTTATCCATTCTAGTGTACCCTAGTATATCTCTTAACGCCATCATTTCTCAGCTAGATTATTTTTATAAAGATATCTACTTTAATGGACCAACATTCAAAACCATAAGCTGGCTTAAAAACTATATTTTACATTTTTTACTGGGTAGGCTTCTCGACCTTACAGAGAATGTTTGTAGCAATTCTTTATTTGTGCAACTTGCTCAAATGCTATGAATTGTGCCCTATTGGCGTTTTTTTCCCCTTATTACTATTTGAAACTACAAAATAATCAAGTGATAGAACATTTCCTATATACATTAAATTTACCATTGCTTCTCCAAAGTTCTAATTCATCCCCCTTTGTCTCATTAACTAAAACTATGTCATTACCTAAAACCATACCTATAGGACCTCACCTTGGATATGACTCTCAAGCACATCATCGACAAAAAGAAGATAAGAACTCAAAGTAGAACCTATAGTAACAGGAAGTTGTCTAACTAGGTATCACACTCGTAATTGCTTCAAAGGTATCATTAGGTTAAATTATATGTTTAGTCCTCCAACCTTTAAACCACATTACACTTTTTCCTCAAGCTTTTTCTGCAACATTTTTAACCTCAACCTAAGCCCATGTTTGGCTCATGTTTATAAGCTATTTATAAACACTCAAGCCACATTTGTCCACACATTTCAAGGGATCCACAAATACTACCCATTTACCTACCACTCATTTCTATATTTATTATTTATATAGTTTATAAACATTTCCCAAATATTTTTAAGATAATTAATGTGGTTTGTCCCTCTTCAGAGACAGTTTCTATTAAAAATTTGTGTTAGTATGCCCTAAATGACAAAATTGCCTTACACTTTAATAAACAACAAAAGGATATTCTAAATACATGTAGGGAAGAAAAAAAAGAGAAAAGGAACAGAATAAAATTCAAAGGATAGGAAATAAATAAAGTAACAGAAAAATCACTTCATCCCTCCCTCCTCTTCCGACTCACCCCACACTTATGTCCTGCCACTGCCCAAGGGTTTACCATCTTCAACTTTCTACCTAAAGGAAAGTAAGATTTGCAACCATTAATCCACCAATAGTTTCTACTCAACAACCGGACAACATCCGTAGCTTTCCGGCACTAACTTTGATAGTCTTCTTGCCAGCAAACTTTCCATATTGGTCATTTACCAAATATTTTCTTCTAGGCATCCTTTTTTTTAATCCGAAAAGATAAAGAATCCCTTTTTTATTTTAATTTTTTATATGTTGATAACTGAAGAACCTCGAGTGGTTACTGCAACTCGTGGATGATAATTCTTTCTTTATTATGTCCTGTAGGAGGTTTTTACAGAGACAATCAGAAAATTTGCTGATGGTCGAACTAAACCAGCAAGAAAGCACCCCAGTAATTCAGAAAACAAAAGATAACATTAATTATTATTTGCAAAATACGTTTCTAATTGATGATGAATAAGACTTAACTGGTTTTTACCTTTTCATATTTGGGGGCTAAGATATTGGCAAATGGTAGAATTGGGGTGGTGGAGTTTCTCGGGCTGGGGGATATTTCCTCCTGATTTGCAAACCAGGGGATGGAAAAACCCTTCAGCAGGGCAGGACATACTGGATGGGTGGGTGGTTGAGAGCTAGGGTGGGGTATAGGTGCGATGGGAGGGATGAAGCGAGTTTCCTTTTTCTTTTATTTAATTTTTTTCTACATGTATTTGAACTGTCCTTTTCTTGTTTATTAAGGTAAGGGCAATTTTGTCATTTTAAGGTATACTAACAGAAGTTTTTGATGGAAACCATCTCCAATGACAAACCGCGTTAATTAGTAAATGGTTCAGGTTAAAAATGTTACCAAAAAAATGAACGTGTGTAGGTTGGGGACGTAAGATATAATTTAGCCGTGTCATTAATAAAATTAAAATTTCTTACACATATATTATTTTCTTGAGTACCCAAAATAGCATTTCAATTGAATTCCACTTATTACAATCGTTCAATCGGTCTTCCAGGTAGTGAGAGTTCTATGAGAGGCGAAATGGAGCTCCCCTCACAATCCAAAATAACCCAACCACCACACCCCCACACTACAAGCCTCACGCCACAAATCAGCCCATCCAACCACGCCATTAACACACAGGCGCAGTTTACTGTGGGAAACCCTAACGCCGCCCAGCCGTTTCCGCCAGATCCGGCCACAGTTCGGGGAGACGCGCCTCACCGGCGGCCTCAGCAGGGACCGACGACCCCTGCCGGTGTCCTGTCCCCCATACGAGCCGCTCCGACCCCACGTCTACTGGCGCGTGTGGTCCACGCGCCGCCGTTGAGAAACCTACAGCGGCAGCCTGCTGCTCCGAGATCAACCGGCTTGTTCGTTCCTCCATTTGATGAATTGATAGTACACAATCAGGGAAAAAATTTAGCGGATGTGCGTAGTATGGTATTCAATCATCATTTCAGAGTGAAGGCGAAGGACTTCGCAGTATCTATTAATGATTCTGGTACTGTTAAGTTGACAGAATGGGGTTCGAAGTTATCTGATTCAATCTTTATGGGAAGGTATAGTGCTATTTGGATGGTGAATATGGTAGACAGATTGAGGATGAGAAGTGAATTTGAGGAATGTGTTTTTAAATTCAACGAGTCTTCAAGAGCTTTCTTGGCACAACGGTGTGTGAACCATCGAGGCAGATATTTGATGATAGCACAATATGGGGAGAGGCGTCGGAAAGGAGTTGTCATGATACCAAAAGGTGCAAATGGAGAGGGATGGTGTTTCAAGCAGTTGTTGACTCATTTGTTGCTAGGGATAAGGCCAAACGACAAACGGTGATTGAACGAAACAGACAAAGGATGACTTATGCAGAAATTACAGCAAACTCACAGACCTCGGAGAATGCCAACCAACGGATGCTTCAGCGAAAGGAAAGGACAAATAAAGTCGGTGATAACGAAAGTTACGACATTTGTTTGAATAGGGCTGAAATAATGACCCGTGCGCAGGAGTTGAAAGGAGCATTAGATGAATTACTTAGATTGGTTGGAAGCGGGCCTGAAATGGAGCCCATGAAATTGGTACGCTGTCACAAGTGTGGGGTTGAGTTGGATGAGGATCAAACCGGTGAAATACACGTACCGGGATTGACTCATGAGGAACTACCATCAATTACAGAACATGCAAAGCAGGGAGGAGATGAACATTGTGATTCTCAGGTGAGGATGGAAGCGGGATACCATGAAAACGATGACGGGGTTGACTTTGTGGGGGTCAACTGAACTAAAGTAGACACAGGGATTGCAGTTAAACGAGAAGAGGAATCGCTGTCTAAGGAAGGGGAGTTTAGTATGGTGAACTTGGAGAAATTGTCAATAGACACTGTGAAAGAAAACAACTATACACAGACGACATCAAGGATTATGAACACTTATAATAGGAGGACAAAAGATAACGATATGGGGACCGAAAAAGCTTTGGTGTTATGGGTAGGTGGTGCAAAGAAAGGAGAAAGTGACGGTGACATTATACCAGTGATGGAAGAGAAAGAACGGTCCTTTGATCATCTCGAAGGCTATAAGGGTGAGGATACTTCAGGAGCTGATGTGTTAGAAGTTGGTCACCCACCTTCAAACTTAGTTCTACAAAAAATTCAGGAATTCAGTAAGTTAGTTGGCGTGTCATGTGATGGGTATGAAAGTAGATTGTTACAATTATTCGAGGAGCTGGAGGCTAATAGGGGACAAGACATCAGTACACATGGAAGTAAATTAAGAAGAAAGGGTGGTCGAGAACTTAAAAGGCTCGAATGGTCAGTAAACTATGCTGGTAAGGATGGCGAGTCCAAGAAAGGAACAATGGGGAGGGGTTATGGACTGTTACAATGATGCCAACACTTACTAGCTGGAACGTAAGGGGTCTCAATGAGGTTAGTAAAAGGCTTGGTGTTCGTCATTTGCTAAGGGGATGGGGGGCAAATCTTGTTTGCCTACAAAAAACTAAGATTGAGTTTATCTCGAGGGCGGTGATTCGTAGTTTATGGGG